GGCCAGGCTTTCACGTTGCTGGTCGGACAAGTTCGCGTGCTTCAGCAGGATTCGACCAGCGATCCTCGGAGGCATCTTCTCGCCCACCTGAGCTTCCATGCAAGGCCAACTCCTTCGCGCGGCATCGCTCAGGCCCTTAAGAAGAAGGCATCAATGGCCGCAGGGGCGGCCGCTTCGAGGAACGGGGCGCGCTTGGAGAAGATGGCACCCAAGATCACGCCGTATCCAGCTTCCAAGGCGGTGATCGTCATGTCGATGGTCTCCGCCAGCTTCCTTGGGGCCGAGTTCTCCGGGAAGGACATCAAAAGCTTCAGGCCCCATTTGCTCTTTGGGATGTTGTTGTCGAGCTCCAAAAGGCCAATGAACGAAGCCAGGAAACGAAGGTTCTCCACCTGGCCTGACCATTGGGGCATGCTCTCCTTTCTCCTGTCAAGGCTGCAGTCAATGCCTTGGCAACTTGATCTCCAGCCACTGCAGGATCTGTAGGCGCTGAAGGCGATGAAGTCGTCATAGGAGCTTTGTCCAATGCCTCAAACGCGGCTCCACTCAACTCATCAGGGTTGGCAGATGCATTCATTCCTCTCAGAAGAGTAGGGCTTCCCGTTTGGGATGGTCCAGACTGAGCTTGAGGAGGTTGAGCTGTAGATGGCATTCCTGAGGAAGGGCCATGAGCAAAGCCAGGAGGCGGTTGAGCTCGAAGCCAAAGGCGTAGTTCCTGCAAGGCCACCACCATAGCCAGAGCCGCACTGTGGTCCTGCTCCGGCGGCAGTGGTCTGGGTCTGACCTGCCATGGACGACGTGGCGAAAACACCTCCACAACCATGTGGCTGAGGTACTCCAGCATGAAGTCCAGGGGCCACTCCATAGGGCGCACCCATGACACCGGACCAAGTCCGGGCAGAAGCATCACCAACGGCCAGCTCCGCAGCCACCCACCATAGCGACGGTACCCTGATCTGCAGAGCTCCAAGGGCCCATGGCGCTGGAGCCGGTCTTTGCCGGCTCCGCTACCACTGTGGGAACAGCGGAGTTCAAAAGAACGAGGTAAAGTGAAAGAAAGCACCGCTCCGTGCAGCGGTCACTTTGAATTGCGAGCGCGAACGCTCAAGGCGCCTGCGGTGAAAGGCTCTGCGGTCAACTCAGTCCACCAGGTCTCATGAGGCTTCCGTGTTCAGTTCATCAATATATACAAATAGCTTCAAAACCGGAGAGAAAAAGTGAACCATTCATTTGCAAATGAAATTGATTGACCTCCCACAACCTTCCGCATGCTTCTGAAAATCCAAGGCTCTCAAAACATAGGCTCGTGAAAGTTTATACGTGGAACCAAGACACCTAAATGTGACCCCAATCCCTCCAATTTGCTTTCCCTGTGACATGCTATGACATGCTTACGGCCCTTGTGCCCACAGACACCACGTGCCTGGGGTCACGTTTGATTCACTCCAGGCACAACTGTTGTGACGAAACCGCAGTTCTCCGCAAGCCTGACCCACCCACCCCAGCGTCTAACAATCGGAGCTGCTCCAATGACTCAGGTCACAGGTCTTTTAAGCGAATCCAATGCGTGTTGAAGGCTTTCCCTACTCTAAACAACTACAGTAGGAGGGGCAATCGCTCAAGGATGGTGGACTTTCGGTCATTGTGGAGAACGTGAACTCTGAGCTTGGAAGTGTCGCTCTGGATTTAATGCGATTCTCCTTGGTGCCTTGGACAAGCAACAGGGACAACAGCTCTTCTGAGTGAAAGACTCAGAAACCATCTGCAACACAAAGCGGACTTCCAAATGCAACTGCTCAGAAAATCTCAGATCAGCATGTGACATGCATTTCGCAAGTCAAAGCTCTCCTGAATTGGATGTAGCTCAAAAACGGTGTGTACCCAGAGACTCAAAACTGGTGTTCCTTTCTGGTGCACAGCTAAAAAGGTCATGTTCCTTCTGAGCCACAGCCAAATGATTTCACTGCTGTTCCTTTGCATCCGTCAACTGCCCGAGCTCAGAGCAGTAAATAGCTCCGTTGTGACTAGCTGATCCGTTTACTTTGGCACCCTTAAAATTGGTGCAAACGAAACAATTCAGAAAGGAGAGCTGTTTTTGCAGGCCGGTGCCTTTGGGGTTCTGTTCAAGCGCCTTTTTGGGATTGTTGCAAACCATACCTAGACCAGAGCTAAAATAAGCACAGAGAGCTGGGCGAAAATATGCCATGAACAGTCACATCAGTCAGGGACAGGTGGCAACATGTCCACCTTGACTTAAAGGACATGAGTCATGACAGACATAGCCCACCAAAAGCTATTCTGTGTTAAGAGTGGGTGCTTTTCTCCCATACCAAAGCACAGGACCGAGTCCCGCACCAGGCTCTCCGAAGTGATCGGAACATGCAACGAAGCCGGAAAAGAGGACGTTTCGGTGATGAGGCGAAGAAATCCAGGTGTTCATGGGATTTCTTTGTTTTGTTCGAAAAAAAGGCCGCCTCAAGGCCTGCATGTGGTCTAAAGGCTTGATAAAGGCTTTCATTCGGCTTTTCACCTCAGTTGTCGGCATCTCCGAAGAGTCCTTGAGCTCCTTGAGCTGTCCTTGCAGGAATCGGCCACCAAATGCGGCCAAACCTCTGGATCGAGATCGGTTCAATTCCGCAAAACTGGAGACAAAGCTCCATGCGAGCGAGACGGATCTGCTCCCAAAGCGGATCTCTACACGCTTTGGAACTTGGTGGCTGGCACCATGGCCCGGACACGTGTGGCGCACTTCTTGTGCTGTAGGTCATGGATTGTCGTGGCCAGGGTGCTGGGGTTCTGGGGTCGATTTTGAAGAATCCTTGGATGCAAAAATAGATATACACTTAGATAGATAAGATAATTATATATATATATATATTTACAATATTATGTGATTATATATATAAATATATGTAAAAAAATGCCACTAAAGCAGCATGCTGTGTTGTGTTTTGTGCGACACTTGGTCACCCCGATGGGGTGCCACCCTCAGATCTTTCGGCTCCTTTTCCGGGCGAATAGAACCATGGAGCACTGCAATCAACATCACATTGCGGCTCGATAACAGTGGATACAGTATACAATGATATGATGATATATGATATATGTGGATATTGCACTAAGGGTACTAACATCCAACAAGGTCGGGAAAGAAGGCGAAGAAGTTTATCATGGCCTAGACTCTCTGCCATCTATGATGGTCTATGATTGTCCTCTCAGTGCCAGCCATTTCCGCCCGGTCTCAGCTCCCGTCCCAGACGGCCTCAGGGCGGGCGCTGGGCATAGGGTGCGAGAATGACCAAGCCAGATCCATGAGTCTCTTGGTCATTGGTGGCGCCATTTGGCATAAGGCAAGGTAGTGAAGCCACTTAGGTCGCATATATATGGTTTGATCCCGGTTTTCTGTTTTCCCTGCAGCACCAGGTAGGGAGGCTGGCAAGATAACCATGAGTCATGAGTCATAAGTGAAACAGTGGAAATCACATGGCGGATTTCGAGATTGCCCAATCATACACCATCCTTGACAACCAGGTGTCGAACGACCATACCAGCAATATCCTTGTCTCTATACTGGTGAGCAAGCAGACACCTTGGTTACGATCTTCGCCAAGAGAGTCTGGGCCATCCCTCCATTATGTAGACTCTTGACAACTAACCCCCCCATATGAAGAGGTTCTTCAATCGAATCCAAGTGCGAAGGATTTAATCAAGAGCTGCATGGCCACCTGCTTGGTGCATACAGCCCCTCCCGTCGCCTAAAAAGCTCCAGACGTCGCTGGGGCCTCGTGGTCACATGGTCACGCGTTCATCCCAAAATAAGCTGGAATTTTGAAAGCACCTCTTTTGTCCAGAATGCAGCTGGAGTCCAAAACAGCTTGAAATGAGAATCACTTCTGAGACTGGAGGAACGATTCCCCACCACACTTGGCCAACGCCCCCCCCCTTTCCGGTCCGGACCGAGTTCCGGCGCTGCCGTCAGCCCGCGTTCCGTCCGTGCCTCAGGCGTGTTCCGTATCTTTTCGGACCAGTTGTCCAGCGCATGATTGCGCCAGTTGGTAAAGAAAGTAAAGCCGCCTGTTCCACAACACACTCACAAGACTCTGGGTAAACAATGGTTTGCTTTTTTCATCTTTGTTCTGGAGGCTCCCACCTGGTTGCTTGTCAGTTTGTTCCCTGGAACCAGCTAAGCGGGGTCAACCTCCTGACTCATGCGATTCACGAATTCCAGGACCGATGCTTCTGCGTTGCCAAGGAGAAAACCAAAGGCCTGGCGCGAACTGAAGAATGACACGTCCAGCTGAGTCCAGCTGATGACGATCAATCAACCCAGGGGGAAACATCCTAAAATATCAACCCACGAGCTCTGTTTTGTGCAGTTTGGGACTTGCTCAAAGAACAAGAAGAACTGCTTCACTTGCACCTCAGACTCCTGAAATGTGCGGATTGGGATTCTTTGACTTGACAAACCACCTGAACAAACGCAACCCAAACACGCGCCAAGCAGACAAGACCCTCCAAGGCCAGATGGCGCAGTTGCGACACTGTCACGGGTGCTGCCTCCACCTGCAGTGAAGAAATATGAAGCAAATGAATGGCAGGAGCAGCAAACACGCGAAACTTAAAGGAAATAGCGTAATTCTCTGCGTTGTGTAGCTCACCAACCTTCTGACTTGCAAGTTGAAGCAGGACAAGCCTCTTCATGCCCCTCCTTAAAACAAAAAACAGGACCCGCCTTGCCCCATCAAAAAGCGGAAGCATGACCAATCGTCCGACGGCGAAGCGCCGCTTTTCTTCAGGCCCCCTTTGGGGCGAAGGGCTCACGGCACTTCGGATGTCTCACATGACTCACGCGTCTGCCTCGCATGCGGGAAACGGGAACGAACGAGAGTTCGGCGATGCATGTGATGTGCAAAGGATGTGCTCTTTTCCCGAGATGTGATACCGTATCAAGGCAACATAGCCCACAAATCTTTGGATTCTTCGTTCGTCTCTAGGTCGGGTCATGGTCTTGAATCATTGCCGAGACTTCGCAACCTGAAGAGGCTATGTTCAATAGATTTGAGCTGAGTCTCATCCGCATCTATCCTCATGGCTTTGCTACCTCCATTGGAAGCAGCTCCCATGGCTTCTTCAGCCGCTGGTGGGTCCTGCAGCACTGGAACAGAGTTTCCTTGCTCGACATATGTAACCTGGGCAAACAAGAAAGCGTGGGACCCAACTCTAGCAAGACCAAACGTCCCAACCTGCGGGAGAATGCCAGTGCCAGTCCTTGCGCTTCACACCTGCCTCGTCTTGTATGCTGAGCACTCGCCAGGCAGGAGCTGGTGCTGGCACAATGGGGTCCAGCGGGCACTCCACCATGTCTGCAATGACGGCCCCTAGGATGCTGATGAAGTAATCACCCCAACCCCAGCCCCAAGCTTTGTCCCAGTGAAGGATCCGGAAGTCCCACTTCAGCAGATCCAGCTGATCAATGCGAAGGTTCAAGTGGGCCCATGCATCCGTTTGCCCTGAGGAGCCGCTAGCGCAGCGACACACTTGTGAGCATCCCAAAGGCAATCCATCGTTGATGGAGCCTGCCATTGGTGCTGTGAAAGCATCTGGCAGATCTGTTTCCACTGTGAAAGCTGAAAATGCAACACAGATTGAGAGGTTCGTGCAAGAAACAACACATGAACACACACAGAACCACCAAGTTGGCTTTGGAAAGCCCTCACCCCTCCTGCCTACAATGTTGATATAGACGCAAATCGATGCCTCATAAGGCTGAGGCGCTCGCCATGCCCGGCTACGTCGGGCATGTTCGATGCAACATGCCACGTCCAACAGATTGGCGCGACGCGACTCTCCCACATCCACCGGGATCACACGTTGCTCCGAGAGAAAGCCCACCATGTTGTGTTGATTGGGCCCATCACGACACGCACATTTCAGAATCAGTTGGATCCGCTGCTCCGAGGGAAAAAGCCGTAGGAGCGAGCCCACCACGGCCGTCAGCCAGGCCACATCCGGGCTGCAGCCGAGCACGTCCTTGACGGAGCGCAAGGCCAAGAAGATGCTCTCGTCCAAGCGGACCTTCTTCTGAAACCCTGGCCGGCGACCCCAATCCTCACACAAGATCTCGTGATGCACCTGAGTACTCGAAAACATTGCAATCATGATACAGAGAAAGAGAGAGAGAGAGAGAATGAGAATGACCAATTTGGAGGGGGAGACAAATGCAGAACTCTGATCTGCCAGACTCTCTCCAATTTACATTCAAAAAAAACATCAATCAAAAAAACTCTGTGGCGCATCCTCGTTGGGGTTCGGCCGCCGCCCAGGCAAACGACCCTCGAGCGAGTTCTTGAGTCGATCTTGGAGCAAGGCCATGGGTTCAGCTGGTGCTGGGTGGATTTGCGGCCCCAGCTGCATCTCCTGGAGAAAGAACTGCTGCGTTTTTCCCCACAAGCGATCGTCAGACCTGGCAATCGTCCACAGTGCCTCCCCCCAGTCACCTCAGCACCCCAGTGCCCTTGTTCTCCCTTGGACCTTGGAAAAAGACATCAAAGACATCAAGACCAAGCCAGTGGGATGAGCTTGGGATCAACCAGCCGAACCCCAAGACCACTGGAGCACTGAAGAACCAGCCGACCTGCTCACAGAGCGCTGAAAACCTTCGGTCGGAGGCTTTTTGTGTGATCGGCGTCTGCACCAGCCAACCTGTCTTGGGAACTTGACAGAGTAGACTACTACTAGTAACTAGTTATATGTGTTGTTTAAAAATGTATATTATTCAAGCGGCCTATTGTTATATATGTATTTTTACTAGTAGGACTTCTTATCCTTATCAAAGGTTCTGTGCCATTCCTCAACGACCCCCGCTGCAGCATCGGTCTTCCCGTCCTCTGCATACAGCCGCAGCAAGTCTTGTAGCAGGGCGTTGCCGCAGGCGCCATCGCTATAGGCATGGGTGATGCCAGCATAGATGTACCAAACAACCTCCGGTCAGGGTTGTGTCCACGAGCAATCATCGCTCTTTTCTTCTTTTTCTCGGCTGCAAAAAATCGTCAGAAAAGCTTCAGGTCCCACCAGTCCCACCGAGCCACATCTTCGGGAGGAAGCATGCGGACCGCCTGTGCCAAGGGCAAATCCTTGGACAGAGCGCCAGCAGCGCCAGAGCGGACGAGTGGATATACGAAGATATGAAAGGGCCAGCGGTGTTTCGATCGCAAAGTCGAGGACTGCATGAACATGCAATCGTCATCGCTGAGCCGTTGGTAGTTCGGATCTCGCAACACTTCATCTGGCATCTGAATCTCAACCTCGATCGGGTCAGAGATGTTGACAAGCGGTAGGAGGTAGGAGGATAGTGACATGAAATCACAGCACACCTGCTTGTCTGTTCCTAAAGACCGCATTGTCTCGCAGAGGGGTCTGGAGAAACTCTGAGAACATGACATCAAACCCCGAGAACTGCGACCCCACGACAAAGGGCTATGCAGAGTGAGGCCAATACTGTGCTCTGGAAAGCTTTGGCGATCAAAACAAGCATATGAGTAGAGAATAGACAATAATAGAAATATATACACAACAGTATATAGATATGCATTAATTGTGTCATTGCTCAACTGCAATAAGGCTCATTCAGGAACAGAGAATCTGCCGAAATCCCATGACTATGGCTACGGTCCAAATCCAGCAACTGAGCAACCAAACTGCCTGTCTGGGGGATTCAACAGCGTGGCTCACCACCGTCAACCCGTTCTCAACCTATTTAACATCCCCAGCATCACCAACCCAGAAGCTCGTGCCAGGTGCTCCTCTTTCAGAAAAGTCCGGGGCCATGTCGCCATGAGCAAGCGGCGCACCAGGCGACCCAGACATTGCCATTTGGGAGAGCCATAGGAGCCATAGGCAGAGCAGATCCTGAGCGAGCAGGGCTGACAGATGTTGGAGAGGTGGCAGAAAGCGTGGGTTGGGAGCAACAAGAGGTTTGTTTGGTGAAGCGACAAGTATAAGTTGTAGAATAAACAAAAGACTTAAGAAACACTATAGACTCAGTCAGCAGCTATCATGAGCCTTGCAGGTATATAACTGCATGCATATAGCTGCATCCCCAACTCTTTCCACCACGGGGGAAACCCCTTCCCTTTCAACCCACCGCCCAAGCCGCGCGCCACACGCGCTGAACGGTCTTCGGTCGAAGGCGCAACTGCCACATGGCCGCTGCCCGGTCCATGGCCTCCCGCATGGCCTCGTCGGGGCTTTGCACCGTGCGCAGCGCTGAGTGCCGCGAGACCAAGCGGTCACAGGCGCGCTGCAAGGCAGGCAGGTCCAAATGACCAGCACCAAAGCGCACATACCAATCCTCGGGGCAGAAGCGTTCACCGAAGAAGAAGATACATCCAACAAAGATGAGTGAAGCATGGGACTTGGTTGGCACTTTGTATAAAGATTCTGTGTCAGTGGCGTTTGGGGGGGTGATTTTTCTCGAAACCACTCTTGAGAAGCGCACACGAACAAGCTGAGCACAAAGGGCCTAAGCGGCCTGGGGTACCACCCGTCCGCCTGGCCCGGTCAGCTTATAGACTCCCATGACATCCGTCGACTCCGACAGCGGCGTCGTACCGGGCATTTCTGCCTCTTCGATCCAAGGAACGACGGGCGACTTGGGGAACTCCATGAGGTAAAGCCGCCAGGCGTTCTCTTCATCTGGCTGTTCATGCTCTCCAGGCAACTCCTCACAGGAATGCCCCAGCAAGGAGGACAGGGATACACAACATTATACAACATGATTTATGGAAAAGAAATCCGCCCACACCGGTGGAGGGCGTGTTAGGGGCGGGTCAAGCTGGAATCATCGTCAGTCAATCATCACATCGTAATCAGTTCATAGCTCTGCTAGGGGGGTCCTCTTGCTTTTGCTTCGGGGAAAAATGTCTTACGCCTCGAGGGCCATGGGGGAGAGCGTTTTGGAGGTACATTTTTGGACTAATTCTGCAAGAACCCAAACAAGCCAAAAAACG